ACTGCGCGTCCCAATTGCTAGGCGAGGGCGGGGTAGGCTCTCTCTCGGTCCCTCGAAGAAAGGCGTAGAGGTGAGCATAGTGATATTGTGAGACCTAAATAGCCACATGATCTAATGATACATGAACACATCCCCCGAATCCGGAAACCAACGCAAGACGGAGCAATAGCGACGGTCGACAGACCTAATTTCTCGACTGAACCCACTCCACCACAGAAATCTGGTCACCGACGCGTATGATACCATTGCCTCCAGGCACGGCATTGCTACCGAAACAAGGCGTCTTTTCCCTCTCGGGAGCGACGCCGGTTCTGAACTTGCTGATGACCTTGTACGGGACGGCAGCATCGCGGACGCCTGTTGCCGGGTCGACGTTCGGAAGCTTTCACCCGGTGTCAGCTTATCGCTCGGTCCAAATCGATGTGAACGGGATACGTACAAGGCAGCGAGCGCAACGTGAGACGAGCGTGAACGAGCGGGATTCGTCCTTCGTGTTGCTGCCCCGCGGAGTGACGTAGACTTTCTCCCAGATGTCCTCAGAGAAGGGGGTACCGGCACCGCGGACGACGATATTCGGACGGAAGCTTCGGAAGGCCTCAGAACGTGTGTCCGACCCAACACTGCGAGAACTACCCACCGTTCAATTGGGACCTTCTCCTTCTCCCACCGCGCGTGGTCCATCCCGCCAATCTTCCCAAGGGCGCCAGGTGAGTCAGGACCGCTTTTCGCAGTGTCGTTTACGGCCTGCGCGACGGCTTCGAGGCTCTCCTCGCTCGCAAAGAGCACGGGATAACCGTCCTGAGCAGATGTCAGTGGCTACATCAAGAGCGCTGCCAACGAGAGGTAAGTACCTGGAAGACTGCCGTCGCCTTCAATGTCGGGAACGCGTGCGTTGGCAAGCAGGAGCGTGGAGTCGGCCCCTTCACTATGAGGTGTACGGGACGGCCGAGGAAGTCGGAAAGGATCTGAGAGGGCGAGGGACCACCGCGCGAGAGAGACTGGACGATATACGCATCCTGTGCCGACCTGTCGAAGAGTGATGTGTCGCTGACACTACTCACAGTTAGTCTGGAGATCTACCCCGGATGAAGAGAATATGTGCCTTACATTTCCCACTGAGAGAGCATGTCTGGCGTCGGCTCAATAGGCACCGCGAATGATACTGGGCCGGAATCCGGCCGGACTGTCACGACGAGCTTGCCCTTCGTCGGCGACGAGGCGTCGCACCGCAGCTCCGGTTCGACAAGGACAAGCCTCGGGAGTTCACGAGCCGTCAAGATCTTGTTCTCGGCAGAATCGAGAACGGCCCATTTCCTATCGTTCTGCAATGTAATTCGTGAGCTTCCGAGGACTCTAGTATGACAGCCCTGTGAACAAGCGGAACAGCAAGGAGATAGCTTGGATGATTGTAGGATAGACCTGGCTAGCGTGAGATAGTACGACGCCCGAGCTTACCTCGAGGCCCTGCGGTGTATACCGCACCTCCCTAACGCTTGTGCCACGGCAACTCTGTCATGCGGTGAGCACAGACTAATCCGCTAGTAGCTGCTCACATACCCACACACCTTGATAGGGTGCACCAAGATCTTGGTCACGCGAATCTGACCATTGTCAACTTGCACCATTGGTTTCTGAAGATAAGTCGGCGTACTCGGGACAGGGGGTGAGACAGCAGGCTGCCTTTGGGGCCTCTTTGGAGCCTGTCGGTCACAGTATATATAGCTCCCAGTTCATGTGAAAAAGCTCCGGAAGTTCGTACCTTGAGCCACACGAAGAAGACTCCCGAGGCCATGGCGGCGGCGATAATCCATTGAATCAGAGAAACAGTGACCTGCGAGACATCGATCTTCGGGCCATGTCCGATGTTTCTCAGGGCTGAGAGAGGTGGATTCATAGTAGGGCTGAGGTTCGTTTAGAACTTCTACGCTTTTGCGTGTGGTTGAAGGCGACGGCAAGAGCAGGAGAAGAGAAGTAGGGAGACAAAGCGTTTATAAAATCCTCGATGAGTCAGGCTATTGCCAGGTTATAGCCGATTATTGTCGCTGAAAGTGAACCGCTATGGCTCTGTCTGTGAGAGGTGAAATCTTCCGCGAGATCCATGCCGCGTTGTTCTCTTTTATCGTGCATAGCGGTATAGTCCGGGTACCCAGGGTGTAAGGATGGGATAAGCAAGTCCTGCGCTGGCTTGTAGTGCGATGCTTGACTCTTGATTAACGCGCCCTTATTATCAAGCGCCCATGGCTCCTCACCACGTTTTTCGCTTGCTTTGGTGTCGATTTTGAGGTAATTCTACATGCTGGCTACGATAACATTCGTATTCTCGTCTTCTTTTCATTCACAATTCACTCTTCTCCGCTGCCAGCTCATGTGCTTACCAATGTTGCTGCGCCGCTTCGTCACTGGCATCCTTCTCATCTAGACTGGTTGGCG